TTTTGATGTTTATTCACTTTGTGAGATATTCTTCTTAGTTCTTGAAGAACTATTCCGAACTTATCAAGGTTTTCCTTGTGGCGTTCACCCTTGACTTATCAAACGGAATTTCCATACTCGTTTGTGGCGTCTTCACCATACCAAGGTTCTTGCTTCGCTAAGCAACGGGTCGCGGTTTCCATCAATTCTTGAAGATCTTGGATCGTATCCCCATATTTGGCTACGGGTTTCGTCACATCGTTGGCGGGGTTCGTATCACTACGTCCCTATGAGTTTCTGCTCTAGGCTAGCCATGCGCTCCATGATGGCGCGCGCCTCCTCTGTTGAGATGGTCGAGCCAGCTACTCTCGACGCCTATGCCCTTTGACCATTGGGTCCGCCTCTTGCCTGCCCGCCCGCCTATACTGACCTTGAGTCTCCCAATGGGCTTCTTCCTGGGTTCTGCGGTAGTACTTCGGGGTTTCCCCGACCTCTTGGTATCGGATCCTCGGGAGCCCGGAGTCCGGAGGCCCTTAAACGGCCGCCAGAGGATTGGGAAGGTCGGGGCCTGGGCTGGCCCCTTTGATTATCACTATCCCCGATCTCTTCTAAGATATGTGAGCGGTCACCAGGGTTGGGGTTTTCAGCCATGGCAGGTCCCAGCGACCTTGGGGCGTCTTCTAAAGGTGGCATAGAGTTTCTTCCATCCAAGCGTTCGACCACGGTCATTAGTCCACGTATCAGATCGGTTAGAGTGGCTAGTTGGGTCTGCATCTGCACGGGATCCGGCTGTGGCACGTCTGGGGGCGGGACCTCGTTGCTGACCGGGGGTGGAACCTCCTCCACCCTGTCATTCACCGGATGAGTGGCGGTCTTGTCCATCTGGCTACCTTGGTTGTTGGCCTCAATTCTTCTTCTTGGAGGCATGCTTGCTGACTATGTTGTTGTTGTTGGGGGTCAAACGCATTCAGTCCCCAGCGGAGTCGCCAATTGTTGACGGTGAATTTTCACCAACAAAAACAGGCCGGTTTACCTCTGGGTTTCCCATTGGATTACCGGCTTAAAAATAGGTTATATGTAGGAGTTTGATGTGCTTGTGGTATTTTTTGTGTAGTGAGCAATATAAGAAAAAATACTTGAAGTAGAAAAAACACATAAGGCTTATAGTGGTTTACTCTTATAAAATGAAGAGTTACATCCACTGTGGTTTTGTTTTTATTTCTTTTGAGATTGTTACAATTTACAAATTGCTCTCTCGTTCTTTTCTCTCTAAAGATCAACCTCATTTCCGTATGAGGTTTCTCTCCTTTTTATAGCCGAGCTTCCTTTGTTGGAGGGGTTTTCTCCTATAGGCTGAACAAGCACTCAAGTGCTCTGCCTTTCTAGGCCCATCCCGTAGCCCACTAATCATTTTTTGCGCACTGTTCACTCAGCCAATTAGTCTCCCATCACGGCTCTGTGCACAGCTGTAACCCTTTTCTGTCCCCCGTAGGGGCAGTTTAAGGGTTTGCATTTAATGCCTGTACTGTGGATATCCCTTACACAGCTTGCCACGTCAGGCTTTCCCCCAAGAAGCATTCCCTTCGTCGCCAGTGTTGTTTAGCCCAATTGTTCTTCTTGGCGGTGGACTTCTATGTTGTAAGGTTGACGGTACGACCTATCGACGTCAGATGAAATCGACGCCCTAAGTTGGGCTTCTTACTCGGGCTCTTAACGACGGAAGGGAAGGGGGTCTCAAACGTCGAGGGTTCTATTTTGCGAGGAGAGGTTAAGGCCACGTGTCAAGTTGTCCTCGCTCCATATGTCCTCCATATTTTCCCCCATAACACTGCATTACAAATTTATCTTTAGATATAGGCCATCACAAAATATATATATATATATATATATATATTTATATTAACGTTCAGATAGGATGAGTTGGAAAAAGCATCAAACGTCCAAAGCTTCTAGAGAGGACTTTATCTGATAACCCCTGTTGGTATAGCGATATGGGATATGGTTGAATGCCTAATTTGTTGTGATTTTTAAAAGACTCTGCTAATTATAAAAATTTAATGGCCAATTACGAGTAGGGCATTCTATTTACTTCCTTTTGGTTATAATTAAGTCACGCGTATGCCAAATTCTTACTGTCAAACTTCTATGCATTTGTTTATTTATTATGAATATTGTTTGGAATTTAGGAGGGCGGGCAACATATAAGATATGAGAAATAGATATGGTAATGAGTAATGAGTTGATGGTTTTGGTGATAAACATGAGTTAATAATTGTGAACTTGGGCTTCTCATTCATGGCATTCAAACTTAAAACATACTCTTTTTTATTTTTAGAATTCATTATTTGGTTGCACAAGATCAATTACACAGGAAGCTGCAGGGTACGTAAGAGCAGAGTACAATTTCAAAGAAAAGCATCATAACTACTGGGTACTGAAAGTCAGCCTAAGTTTGGCCACCGGCTGCCACAGTAAGCGCCTGAACAGGGCGAATACAGAGACCTTCAAGAGAGACCAATAACCTTTCCAGTAGTGGTGTCGAGGTCAATGTCATAGAAACACGGCCTTGTCGGAAGTCCCGGCATAGTACTCATTGATCCAACCAAAGGGTATATGAATCCTGCACCAATACTAGCCCTCACATCCCTTATTGGTAAGGCGAATCCGCTAGGGGCTCCCTTCTCACCAGCATTGTGTGAAAATGAATATTGAGTCTTTGCCATGCAAATAGGTAACCCTGAAAACCCTTGCCTGCTGTACATCTCAATCTGTTTCTCTGCCTATTTGCACGGAAAACAACTTTTTTCATAAGTTTTATCATGTAAAAATCTTTCCAAAAGACAAACAAACACGATCACATTTTCGCTTATACAGTAAATTATTTATAACTATTCTACCATTCATCCGAATGATGTGTAGTTGTCACCAGTTGGAAGAACGTTCATGGCGACTAGGGCCAAGAGCAAAAAACATCAACTGGCAGTGATCTCCTAAACTTTAAGTCAAAGTTTGTTTACTCGAATTTCAAAGATTTAATCAAGCAATATTTAACCTGAACCAGTAATGGAGCAGAAGCTACCTGTTCCGAGTATTCGACTCCACTAGCACCATATGACCTTGCTATGGCCTCTATCTTCTCTTTAATACTAATATCTAAAGGATATAAAAACTTCAATGGTTGTGCAACATCTTCACAACCCTTTTGAACAGCAACCCCAAGGTCAACCTGTAGAATGAAAATCATGATTAGGATCATCAGCTCAACAAGCCTCTTAGGCAGTTCTCCTTCTCTAAAATAAAATCGGGGCATCGTATATAGTTCCAAGAAAGAGAAGGTAAAGGCAAATTTAGAATTTGGCAGCCAAAGGGTTGGTATCAACAGCTTCCATGGAAATTACACAACCTAATTGATATGCCTGATTCACTTGGTATTTATTCGTCTGTTAAACTTGATAAAACTTGCATCCATTGGCCGCCCAACGTGAGTAGAGTGATGGTGAATTTTTGGCCAAAGACAAGATTAGTACAAGTTTTATCGAAACACGAAACTACCACGAGCTTCCACAACAGATTAAATCACAGGGACACGATTGACAATCAAGACAGGCTGGATGAGTTGGAAAATAGGTTGTGAGCAGGGCAAGATATCAGGCTTCTTTCAGTTAGGGGGAAGCTACACCATATGAATGCAAAGGATGCCTTGCATAGGCTCATGAAATTAATCAATTATATTTCACACATTTCAAATGACTATTCTCAAGGAAGAAGACCTTATTGACAAAAGGTTTCCGAAATGGCTAACAGACATTTGTTAACAGGATGAAGTAACTAACCGCTCCTCTTCCACCATAAGCATGATGAGTACAAATAACAGCATCATATGCTCCAGCTGCTAATGCTGCATTTCTGACTGCATTAAGTTCTGCTTCGGTGTCAGTTGAGAACTTGTTCACAGCAACAACAACATTCACTCCATAAGCTTTTGTGTTTGCAATATGCCTGGCCAAATTCACACAGCCCGCTTCAACTAAAGCTACATTCTCAGTCAAGTAGGCACGGTCCAGAGGCTTTCCAGCAACAACTTCTGGACCACCCCCGTGCATTTTTAAGGCCAGTATTGTTGCCACAATAACTGCACACTGGGGTGTTAAACCGCTATATCGGCATTTTATGTTCATGAACTTTTCAGTACCAATATCAGCACCAAAGCCTGCTTCAGTGACTACAAATCCACCTGGTCCAACCAGTTTCAGTGCAATCTTGTCAGCCACAATTGAGGAATTGCCATGAGCAATATTGGCGAAAGGGCCAGCATGAACAAGAACTGGTGTCCCTTCAAGAGTCTGCATTAGAGTAGGATTAATGGCGTCCTTCATCAGAACGGTTAAAGCACCTCCAACACCAAGATCATCCGCAGTTATAGGGTCACCAGCCTTGCTGTTACCAATAACCATTTTTCCAAGCCGCTCCCGCATATCGGCTAAAGACGTTGTAAGGGCCAAAACTGCCATTATTTCACTGGCAACTGAAATATCAAATCCTGTTTCTCTCACCGTTCCTTTCTCTTCGGGGCCCTGCCCAATAGAAATCTTCCTCAAGAACCGATCGTTTACATCCATTACTCTTCTCCATGTGATTGAACTTGGGTCAATATCTAGCCTAGCAAACTTTTTGACTTCTTGAGGTGTAAGATCCTCTGGCCTTGTCTTGGAGATACCAAGCTTATTCAAACGTCTAAACATGATGTCACTAAAGCTGCGCTTCCCTTCTTTGTTTGGTGGGCATAACCGATTCAAGAGAGTCTTGTCTGATTGGGTCGACTCATGGAAAATTCGAGTATCAATGGCTGCAGCCAAGAGATTGTTGGCGGCTGTTATTGCGTGGATGTCTCCCGTGAGATGAAGATTGAACTCATCCATAGGGATCACTTGACTGTAACCCCCTCCTGCTGCGCCTCCTTTGATTCCAAAGGTCGGTCCTTGCGATGGTTGACGGAGGCATGTGACAACCTAATAAGAAATTAGAAAGAGCAAGAAATTATGAGTTTAGGACATGATTAACTCCACGTGAAATGATATAAACTGAACAGGAAAATGTCAACGTTTTATGGTTTTTGCATCAAAACAATCATTTCAATGCTATGAAAGACTTTCATAAGCTACATAATGAAGGACAGAACACAGTCCATTTCTTAATAACCCTGCCGACAGAAGCAAGTCTAAAACATGGAAAGGCAAAGTACCCGAGAAGAAGATAAGATCACAAACTAGAAATTAGACTGCATAACATTTCTCTAATAGCATTAAACAAAGTTCTAAGCAAACCAATCCATGCCATTTTCTCCTGAATACAATCAAGAAATAGGCTTTGAATTACTAATAGAACTCCAGAGACGTTTTTGCTTCTCAAAGGTAGGAGATTAACAGCAGATCTCACTAGAAAAGCCGGGTTCTAACACAGAAGTGCGAGAAGGATAATGTGAACAAATGCTAAAGAGCTCAACTGTGAGAACAACTAGTACGGTTTTAAAATCAAGTTAAACCAATTTCATGCATATCTTAAACTGGCCTATCACCCATCTTAGATTTTTTTTTTTTTTTTTTTTTTGCCGACGTCATTCCCAACACCTCAGAACATAAATAAAAAATGCTTTTTTTTTTTTTTTGTTTCTCCTTGCTCATTGGCGTTTCAAGCATCTTCCTTTAGAAGAGGGCATAACTTGAACATGAACTTCTTCGTATTAGGGGGGGGGGGGAAAATGGATTTGACCAAGCGTGAGAATAATGAATGTGACCTTAAAATGAAATCAAATGCTGTAAAGGTAAAAGGAAAACCAACCCCAAAGGCACAAAAATAAAAGGGTGGGGAAAAAATTACTTTTTTATGAAGAAAAGCACCCAATGCTTGACAAAGTCCAACAGTAGTAGTGGACTTGCCTTCTCCAAGAGGTGTTGGAGTAATCCCTCCAACCACAACATAATACCCATCTCCTGATCCTTCAAGCTCATCAAGCGCGGATAACAAAACCTGGATAACAACCATCACTAAAATCATCCATACTCAAATTATGGTAAACCATAAACCACCAAAAAGAAAAGGCCAAAAAAAAAAGTGAGAATTCTCAAATTTATGGTAAACCAAAAATCTTCATATTGTCCTATCAAGAAAAAAGATTAACTGAAAGGATCTTCGAAAATTGTTAAATGAAAAGTACACTGACAAGATCTTACTTTCCTTCAATCAGCAACAGAAAAAAAAAAAAAAAAAAAAAAAAAAAATCTCTTACTTTTCCTTCAAATTCTCAGTAACAGAACAGAACAAGCAAAAATCCTTGTCTACCCACATCACAATTTTCTTCAAATAAAAAATAAACCATAATGATAAAACATAAAAAAAATAATAATAATAATAAAATCACCTTGGCCTTGTATTTGCCATAAAGATCGTAATGATGTGGGCTGAGATTGAGATCTTTGGCAATCTCAGAAATGTGGAAAGGCTCAACGGAGTTGGCAATGTCTATGTCTGCCGGAACAGGAGACACCACCTCCAGCTTCCTCAGAGTTTTGGGTGAACTCATTTTTTCTCTTACTTTCTGGGTTCTTTGGTTCGGTCGATCAAAAAACAAAAACAAAAAAAAAAAAGAAAGTTTTATTGAGAAGAGGTGAGAATATTGATAATTTTGATAATTTTTTGAGAGGCCTTTTAGATTGTGGTGTCGATCTATTATATTTTCTTATCCGGGTCGACACATTACGTGCCCTTTTCATCTGAGAACGAAGCGGGTTTAAATTACAGATATACCCCTAAATTCACGAGAAGATAACAAAAAAGTACGGTTCCATTATTTCATTGAGACCTCCTTCTATCCGTTAAATCTGCGTAATTAATTACTATGATTGTCCTCGAAGGTTGTGTCTTAAAAATGTTGCGTAATAATTTGATAATCGAGTTCATTGAAGCTGTCTTTTTTAATGAACACAAGCAAATTATTATCATTATCAATTGATCTCCCAATCAAAATGTATAGCCGTTACTTGTATTGACAGGAAAAAAAAAAATACTCTTGACAGCAAAAAATGTAAAATTAATGTCAACATTAAATGACGATCCATAATATATTTTATGCTTATGTTTTATGCTTTTCGTGTCTCAACTATTTTTTCTGTACAAGATCACCAATACTTTTTAATATTATTAAATATTGTTATTAGAACATAATGTATTGCCATTTAAATATTAGAGCAAAAAATTGACTTCCGTTCTAGACAATAAAGCAACCAAAATAAAATGATAAGTGGAAATAAAAGGAGTAAAAAGTTATGGCATAAATATATCAAAATTAGCTCTAAAATTGATTTCTTGTTCTCTTACTTTTTGTTGTTCCTCTTTATTTAGGGTGTTTTGCATGTTAGGGAAAGATAGACAATAAAGCAACCAAAATAAAATGATAAGTGGAAATAAAAGGAGTAAAAAGTTATGGCATAAATATATCAAAATTAGCTCTAAAATTGATTTCTTGTTCTCTACACAACACATTAACGTCTAATTAATGTTATCAATAAACAAATAAACACATTAACGTCTAATTTAAAAAAAAACAAAACAAAATGAACTAAAAAAACATGGACACCTCGTAAAAGAAAATCAATTATAATCTGAAGATTGGTCATTATAATAATTTGCAGGGAAGACCAGCTGATGGTGATCTTTGGCTGATGAAAAGTGCTCGGTCGTCGAGGCCGGCGGCTGATCACCGCCTAGCGGCAAGTCTGAGATGGAAGCCAGGATCCGGTTGATGGTCGATGAAGGAGCGGGTTTGAAGCTGAAGGACCTCATGATGTTGCGGTTTCTGGAGAACAAATTTGATGAAGTTGAAAGGATGACATAAACCAATACTTGCACCAACACAAACACAGCCCCCTTCAACACAACCTCTGCCAAATAATCACTCTCAATCACCGCCATTATTTGATCTCCTGAAAACGGAGCTTAACGTGGTTTTTAAAGTTAGCTACCTAGCTACTACTGCAATTCTTTGTGAACAAGTCGAACAAATAAAATTGTGTATATATACAAGCGTGTTTCAGGACTATATATTGTTTCTATTCTATATATATATATATATATATATATACACACACACATATACAGATGTAGTAATGTATAGGCCAGGGCGAAAAGGAAGGAATTAGGATTAGGAAGGAAAGAGACGTGCAATTCTTGAAGCCGCCACATTTTGTAAACAAGTTATTGTTTGACTACACGCAATTTATTTTAAGCATGAACAAGTCTCATGTGGCTTTCTTATACATATTGTATATCTACTATCAAGTGGTTACACGTGATTAACGGAATTAAGAGCATGATCAAATGTTTAATAGTGATTAACGGAATTAAGATCTCATTTAATAGTGATTAACGGAATTAAGATCATGATCAAATGTTTAATAGTGATTAACGAAGAATCATTCGTGTTTTCTCACCCTTTTTTATTTTATTTTTGCATATATAAGTCTTGTATTTTTTTGAAATTACACAATTTTCAAATTGATTGCAATTGCACGCTCTTATCTGTCATATGATGATTTGAGTCCCACCTTCTAGTTTTATTAATTAAGTATTTATTTATGCATTCACATTTGTCACCTATATACCCTATTAAAATTTTTTATCACCATTGAGTTTTTATTAAAATACTATCTAAATATAAATTTAAGTTTTGACTCACTCAAACACAAACTCAAAAAGATTCCCAATTCAAATCATAACTCAAATGTGCACATCCAAACTCAAATTACAACTTCAACTCAAGCTCAACTCAAGATCATCACTCAAGTCACTCTAACAAAAAATGTAAAAAAATAACCCCTTAGTATTGCAAACGAAAGTTGTTTATTACTCAAAGGGAATCAAAGGGTAAAAGTTCTGCATACTTCTTTAAAAGAGAAAGAATACTAAATAAAGGAGTGCGTTTTGCAATTTCAAATTTAAATGTACGACTTCTCAGTGGACGTTTGGTTTGCATATTCAAAATCATGATTCATAATTATTTTCGATTTACGTGTATTTTTGTGAGAAAAAATACTATAGCGAACAACGAACCGTAATTCGAATTATATCACAAATCATCATACCAATTATTTCCCAATATATATGAGTATATATGCTAATAAATCCAAATATATAGAGGATGAATTTGCAGTTATTCCAGATTATATAATATACATTGTAATTAGTCTCTATTTTATTATTGTTTTTGTGAAAAAAGTAACAGCTCCAAAATAGAGTCTAAGAGATGTTTGGTTTATGGATTAGAATCATGAGATTAGAATCATTTTCAATTTACGTGTATTTTTGTGAGAGAAAACACTATAACGAACCATGAACCATGATTCGAATCGGGGTACGAATCCTCCAACCAAACAACATTTTACACTTGTTGGGCGTAGCTTAGGTAGAAAGTAAGTATATGACTTCTCTTCAGCCAAAAAAAAAAAAAAAGGAAAAAAAGGGTAGTATGTAACTTACTGCACAACAAAAGCAAATTTGTCACGAGAAGAGCGAACGATAAAGCGTTTTTGTGTGTTGGGTTGACTAAAATCACGTTAAAATAAAAATGTGTACAAAATTGACAGAACCTATTTAAAACAGGTCTTTATTGGCAATTTTCTTTTGTACCCTCCATAAAATTCTGATGAAAAAAAAAAAAAAAAATGCTACTAGTACTAGTTCTACGTTACATTGAAATTTCTACCAATCCCTATTTACCTCCATCCAAGTTCCTGTGAACTTTACCCCACTAGATTACTCTTCCCGTACCTAAAGAGGGTTGAATAAAATCAAATAAAATACAGGGTGTGAAGCCAGAGTCGCAAGCTTTTAAACGGCCTGATTTCTAAAGGGCCTTCAAAATTTTCAAAACGTTGCGGGCGGGAAATGTCACCTTCACACGCAAAGCAAAGCAAAACAAAAAGGCCAAAAATTGAGCCACTACGTGTTAATTTAAAGGTCATCTCATTTTGCTCGTATAATTTAAAATGCAGCAAAACTTAGGTGGCGTTTAGTTCATGAATTCAAACTATGTGATTAGAATTATTTTTGATTTACGTGTATTTTTTATGAGAGAAAATACTATAGCGAACCACGAACCATGATTCGAATTAGGGAACGAATCTAGGTACCAAACGGACTCTTATTGTTGTTATGAAAATTAAAAAGAAAAGCTTTAAAGGGGGAAACTAGAGAGAGAGAGTTTTATTAGTGGACGTTTGGTTCACGAATTTAAAATTATAATTCATAATTATGATTTAAAATTACGTGTATTTTTTATGAGAAAAAATACTGTAACGAGTCACGAACTATGATTTAAACTATGGTATGAATTCTCATACCAAACACCCTCTTAATCTTATTAAGATATACAAAATGAAGAACTTTAAAGTTCTATTTATAAGAAAATTTTCAGCACTATTCACGGTTACTATTTACACAATACTTACCATTTACGGTTATTATTTGCACAATAAGATTCTGACATTAAGAGTAACTTTAACTGACTTGCATAGTAATTTTGACTGAGGTGGACAACTACAAATCATAACAATTGTAAATGGCCATATTCATTTCACCAATTCCAGTTTATAATTTGAGTTTTGTTACAGTAAAAAGCTCTGAGAAACAGTCACGTCTAACTTTTTTGTTACAGTAAAAAGCTTTCACATAAAGTCACATCTCAACTCGAATTAAAAACTAGAATCAGCGAACTAAACAAGCATTATAAATTACAATTTTTATGCTTATTATTTTAAGCGTTAATTTTTTAAACAGTTTTAATCACGTGTGGTCACACGACTAATTTGTAAAAGATAACTTTTTAATAATTTTAATCGCGTTAATTTTTTAAACAGTTTTAATCACGTGTGGTCACAGTTTTAGCATTCAAAATTTAATAATTTTAACATTCAAAATTTAACAGAGGGGGCGGATAAGAGGGACGTGTGTTAATGGTGAATTATTCTTGAGAAAAATTTGCTATTTTTAAATTTTAAGAAGAATTTTTTCAAAACGCCAAATAGTTTAGGGGGCACAAGTGTAATTTGTCCATATGAATAAGATGTGGTAGTTAGTTTGTCTTGATTCTTTTGATTTTTTAGTATATAGGGATGCTATGGGTTTGTTTTTTTACAAATTCTCTTGACCAGAGCCCGTTTGGTTAGAGGATTCATTCTCTGATTCGAATCATGATTTATGGTTCGTTACAGTATTTTCTCTCACAAAAAACACACGTAAATCAAAAATAGTTCTAATCTATGAACCAAACGGGCTCGAGTTTCTGTTTTGTATTCTTTTTTCCTTTCTTTAATAATATTCTTCTCTCTTTGAGGAAGTTTCATTAAAAAAAACAGTGAGCAAAGTTTAAACTATTGTTTAGTAAGCACGTATTTAAATTATAGTCTTCGAACTGAATTAAACTGTCAACTTTAAAGTTTAGCTCACCCATCAAGTTTAATTGTTCAAATTATTTTTAAACAGTAAAAAGATACTCTTTCTCTCACTCTTTACACTTACTAAATATAAATTTGAATTTACTTTTCACACTCACTAAATACAAATTTAAATTTTATTTTCTGTTTAAATTAAAACTTTAACTACACATCTTAATGTCAATTCAAATTATAATTTAAATCACACAATTTAAATTTTTTTATTCAAATTAAAATGTTTAAATCAATAAATTCAAACGACCGAATTAAATGAGAACTAAACTCACAAGATAATTGAGGGTCAAATAATATTTCTTATTATTAATAAGAAATAATAAGATATTTCTTATTATTTGAGGGTCAAATTTAAAACTAATCCCTGGATTGAAGACCACAAGAAAATTCAGAGACCCCGTTATTAATCAATCAATGACTGAATCGTTGGGGCAAGTATAAAACTATAAATACACCCACAAAAGACCAAAAAAGACCCACACAATTGGGCAGTATAACATATTGATTAGCTCTGAGACACTGCCAGATAAACACACGCCCGTATTACAAAATTAAATGATATATTAATGTGTGTGTATAACTGTGTATATATGTGCGTGTGTACGAACCAGCGAGCGACTAATGTGCACGTAAACTAACCAAACCAAACCAAACCCAAAGCAACCTTTGACTCTTCTTTTAAATTTGATTTGATTTGATCTGATGATTTGATTTCCCATTGCTATTCTCAAATCGATCAGAGGCAACGCATAATCCGGAACTGGAGCTGCTTTTGCTGAGGCTTCTCCACCTCACCCACCAAACTACTTCTTGATTTTGCTTCTTGTCTTTATTACGATTTTTATTATATTACTTAATAATTCTTTCTTCTTCTTTTGAAGAGGTTGATGCAATTATTGGAAGGTGTTTTGAGGATTGAAGATTTCAAACGGGTGTGTATTCTTTAATTTTGAGATCACAATCTCATCTGGGTATTGCTCATTTTTCGCAAAGGTTGTTTCTATTTTTTGCTGACGCTTTTGATCAGTCAAAGGTAGATTCTGGGTCATTCAAGTGTTTGGAGTGAAAATTACCATCTGGGTATTGCAGTTCTGGGTGTTTTTCAGTTGTTGTTGTTGTTTTTTTTTTGTTTTTGTTTTTTGTCTTTGTTGATTTATGTGATTTTTTTTGTTGCCCCTTTGGATTATGCTTGCTTGGTGTTTGTGCTAGTACTTCAGCTTTGTTATTTTGTATTATTTAGCTTACATTTTCGTTGAATTTCATTTGCAAACTTCCCTAGAAGAGCAAAAGCTGTTAGAAATTTGACATTCTATGGTCAAGCCTCAAGCGCTGTAATTAGCTTATGAATTCTTTCATTCTGCTGTCTCATCCCAGTCAGATGGAATCTCTGGTTTTCTGAAATTCACCCTTTTTTTGGCTCAACTTTGACATGATTTTGTGATTTTCACTTATCACTTTTCTTCCCATTTTCCCTATTTGTACTTTGCAGTTGTCTGTCATTCTCAAGATGTAGGTGTTTAATTTTACTCTTCCTCACATATATTCAAAGCTTAGTTTAGAAAAATATTTCTTCACTTTAGAATGAAAAACAAGCGGTTTTAGTACTTTTTCCAGAACCAACTTTTAAGTCTTAAACGTAACAAAAGTAGCAAAATTACTGCATAATCCATTCCTTAGCCAATATGCCTAAGTGGTATTTACTGTAAAGAAAATTTGTGTTGTAGAAGCGAGTCAAGCAACATGTAAGGAAATTATTAGTCTCAGCCGTTTAAGATCAATTAATGACAAACACCATTTCTCTGCTGTTTTATGATCCATTCCCTCTCGTTTAAGTAGCTAAAGTAGTCTATGAAAGTGTTAAACTGCTTAAAGCTAGGTCACATTCTTGTGTGCGTGTGTATGCTTTCCACATGAATTCAGATTGACATTTGGAAAATTTAGAATTCAAGGGTACATTGTGAGGAGAAAACTTATATCTTGGATGTTGTACATAAATTAATAGTTGTCTAATATTGAATTTTTATTCCCCATTCACGGTTGTCTTGTACATGCAGACATAGTTTCCTGCACTTCTGGAGCTTGTATATGAATTACTTGAATAAACAGATTGTATAGATTCCTTGAAAATATTTTCACTTCAATTTTTTAGGACCGATTCTGGATGCGATTACATTTCCTTCCTGAAAGCATGCTTTTCATGCCTCAAACTTTTGTTGCCACTGTAGCACATGGCTATAAGTAACAAGTTTCAAATAACAAAATGCTTCTACAATGCAGAGAAAAGTATCAAGTTCTTTAAAAAGGTGATGATTCTGGAGGAGTAGATTACTATATTTATCCCGATTAGGAGCATCGGCATTGACATTTAAGAGGAAGAAAACATGTCTCCTGGAGGTGGCTTCAGCCCAGAAATGATGGAGTCTCGTATCACGTTCGTGGAGTTGGATGCAGCAACTTCAAATTTGGAGCTAAGAAGTTCTCCTTTCAAGAAAACTGCCTCTAATCTGAGTGGAAATCATGGAATATCTTCAACTAATGATGTTCACGAGCTGCTCGAGTGTCCTGTTTGCATGAACTTGATGTACCCTCCGATCCATCAGGTACTTCCATATATTTGGTGCTGAAATGATATATTGGAGATAGTTTTCTCAATTGTTATTCTTGGGCTCCGAAGCATGTGTTGTCAGTTTCAAACGGTCTCCTGCAAAAAGAAAATCAACTCATTTTAAGCATTAGTGATTAGTTGATGAAAAAGAAAATCTCCTTATTGAAGAACCATCATTTTACATAAACATACACTCCTTTTTTAAACTTGTTATATAAGCGCCTAGAGCATGGTACTATTTTCCATTATCTTTGATGACAAAATTTCTTAACCAAAATAACATACTCAGAATATACTAAAATACTTTGATATCCAAGTTTTAAGTCGTATGATAATATAAGTGTATTTAATTTTGTTAAATCACAGTGTCCAAGTGGCCACACTCTATGTTCAAGCTGCAAGGCTAGAGTACATAATTGCTGCCCGACATGTCGCCAGGAGCTAGGAAATATAAGGTGCTTGGCACTGGAGAAAGTCGCGGAATCACTCGAACTCCCATGTAGATACCAAATTTTGGGTTGTCATGATATATTCCCATACTACGGCAAGCTAAAGCATGAGAAAAACTGTAAACACCGCCCATTCAACTGTCCTTACGCAGGAGCTGAATGTTCTGTAACCGGCGACATCCCGTTCCTTGTGATGCATCTGAAAGACGGCCACAAGGTTGACATGCATGATGGTTCTACTTTCAATCACAGATATGTTAAGTCGAATCCTCAAGATATTGAAAATGCTACATGGATGTTGACTGTAAGTCCCTCCCTCTCTCTGGCACAGATATTGAGTTCCTTTTTGTTTTATGGAACCCTGTGAATATTTTCACAAACAATCATTATAAAAATATTCGAATATTTTGTGGTGCAGGTTTTCAACTGTTTTGGCAGGCAGTTCTGCTTGCACTTTGAAGCTTTCCAGCTTGGAATGGCGCCTGTTTACATGGCCTTCCTTCGATTCATGGGTGACGAGGATGATGCAAAGCAATTCAGTTACAGTCTGGAAGTTGGTGGGAATGGTAGAAAGCTCATATGGCAAGGAGTACCTCGAAGCATCCGAGACAGCCACCGAAAAGTCCGCGACAGTCAAGACGGACTAATCATTCAGAGGAGCTTGGCACTTTTTTTCTCGGGTGGTAATGGTAATAAGCAGGAGCTGAAGCTGAAAGTGGCAGGTAGAATTTGGAGGGAGAATTGAATTGACATGTAAAATAGAACTAGATAGATAATTCTTCAAGGATATATATGTGCAATGGAATTTTAAACTTTTAAGGAAAATGATATCAGGGATTTGTCTGTCTGTAAATGAGTAGCTATATATATATATATATACATATATATATGTTGCTTGCTTAAATTATACATGATCACTTTTTAATTGATTAATAAATCAACGAGGGGAACTTTCTTTCTTTTCATGAATCTTATCTCATGATGCACGATCTTCTAATCTCGGATACCATATTTTGCAGAGACAAAAAAGTTATTATTATTGATAAGTTTACCAAGCTCATCATCACGGTGATTATAAGACGGTTCAAACTTTTAAGATGTGCTCAGTTATGTATGTCCGTCCAGCTCGACCGTGTTGCTTGCGAAGAAATTTACTTTTTGTCTTCTTTATACCACTGGTTTACTAAAAGTAGGGCGGTGATTTACTTTAATTCTTTGTGTAACGAATAACGATCCGTACTACATAAACAAATAATTTAAGGATAATAAAGAATAATAGAAAGTTACTTTCAAAAAAAAAAATGCGTGTTTTTCCTAAAAAAGAAGAAGAAAAAAAACTGCTAATTATTTTATCATAATGAATCTCTTTTTCTTTTTTTTTTTCACAGTACATGTCCACGGGGTTGCAAATTTCAATATTAGCAAATCGATAAGGGTAGTATTGTCAAACAACAATAAGGAAAAAAAAAGAAAAGAGAGAAAAACATAAACCCTAGCTAAACCCCGTCTGTGAGACCCTGATTGAAGAAAATGCGTTTAGGAGAAGAGAAGGCACTAAACACTGCAGAGAAGTTTACAAGCTGAAACGAAAATGGCAGTAGAACTAGAGCCCTAAACCCATGTATCTCTTCAGCATGGTTTCTTTGTAAGTTCCGGAATCAACTTTTCGCCTTTTCAATTAAAATTTTCTTTTCTTTTCAACCTGAATTGTCTTCGTGGCAATTCTTTCTTGTTTAGTTTAGTTTAGTTTAGTTTAGTTGTTTGGGGAATACTTCTAATGGGCATTCTGTTTCATCTGCTTCCCCTTTGTATGGTAAAGTTCCTTGTTTAAGGTCGAACAAGTGGATGATTTTAATTAATGGTTAGAGGAGCGAGACATATAATGCCAAGTTACTTGAGTTTTGGTGATATTAAGACCTGCCGGGAAACTGTTTGACAAAATACTATTGTCTAAAAGGGAAAATTTCCATAGTATTTTGTCATTTAGCTAATGATTTCTGGTAATTCTATTTATGAGCCAAGTGATGATCTTAGTTTTCCATTTTTGTGTGCATTGATCCTTTTCAAGTTTTGGTTTAGGGTTTTATTTTGTTTCACTGTCTCATTCTATATTGTTTAAATTTTTCAATGTGATGTTGCTTTTTTCATACTTATAGAGGTTTAGGTGTATTTGATAAACTGGGTTATGCATTCATATATGTTCAATTTTAACTCCAAGAAGTCCCCCTCAACCCTTTTTTGTCTTCACACAGTGGCTTAATTCATGGGCCAAGACCGTATTTTCAGCAATCCACCTCCCCGGTATAAACGCAGCTTGTGCACTAGCCACTAGAAATATATCGATAAAGAAGAAGGCGAATTCCAATAGCCAAAGTTTGGGAAATTCATATATGATATATGTTCCAATGGAGTTGGGGAATATACGCCCAGGTATCAATCAGTAGTGCTAAATCTTCTGATTTCCAAACCCATTTCCATAGTGCTCTTGTTTTGTCTTTCTTATGATTGCTAATCTTTAATCAATTATTGTGATGTGAATTTAAGATTTTGTAGTGTTACGCAGTACAGTTTCCCCTTTCCCTCCCTTGCTCAGCTTAGCCATTTAATTGAATTGTTATATACATTTTCCATTTCAGAACAATCTAGTTTATTGCAGCCGCTGCTCCTATGGAAAGTTTGGATCTTTCTGTGTTCATACATGTCAAACTCATTTTCTTAATGCTTTTATTTACGTGGTGATTGCTAGTTTTGACTCAATTTCAATTGTGGTAATTTAACTTGTTGTAGCATTATGTACTAGGTTTTTAGCTTTGCTTCTTTCTTAGCCATTTGGTTACACGGATAATTGTACATCAGCCCTTTCAGGATAAAGAACTCGTTGTACTAGCTGCTGTTTGTGTGAACTCTTTAACTTGCTCAGTATTTCAGCTATTATATATGAAAATCTTGGATTTAGGTTGTTGTTTCTTTAAATTGGAATGGTCTTGTTTTTAATTGGAAACCTTATTTCTTTTTTACTTGTATCAGACTCACCATTCCTCGTAGATGATCTGTTTTTTTTCCTCGGTCAATCAAGTTATCATATATTGATAGATCCTGTAAGTCAATAATATGATATGTTTATCACTCGTTTTTCAGCGCATTTAATTCCAAAAGATATTGCCCCCCATGAACTTTAAAGGTGCTTTTAGTTTTTATTTTTGTTTTTGTTTTTATTTTTTCGTATTAATGTAGTTGGTACTAAACTAGCATGTTATTGGAGTGTCCTGTTCCGGTTGATGGTTTCTCATTCAATAAATCCCTTCCAATTATCGCAGTTTTCATATTAATGTAGTTGGTACTAAACTAGCATGTTATTGGAGTGTTCTGTTCCGGTTGATGGTTTCTCATTCAATAAATCCCTTCCAATTATCGCATTGAAACTAAAATGGTTGTTAAGATTATGTAGGTTCTGTTATTCTTTTTCTAAGAAAGTTGTTGTTGGTTCTTAGTTCATTTTGATGGGTTTGCAGCACGTAATTTGTTTTCTGTGCGTTTCTTTTGAATTTTGTTGTCGTTGATGGTGCTGTTGAGTGGTGGCCATGGCAATACATAAATAAGGGGATTTCTAGTTAGCCAAGATGTATTTTTGGTTGTTGTCTCCTTTGAAACTGGCCTGATTGTGTATTCATGTGAAAAACCCCCCGCTTTGTTTTGGTCTGTTTTTCTTTTGGGTGTATTTCCTATTTCAAAGAACTGCTATTTAATTTAACTATTTAACTATTTCAATTTTTTTTGTCTTAAAAGCATAAGCTTGTTTTATTTTTACCATTTGAATATTTGATGCTAATCTTTATTCCATTATCTTGCAGATTTTTATTCTGAGACTCAAGTTTGCACAATAAGCATGCAATTGGGGCACGTGCCTTGCAATCATAATATAATAGTATAAGGTGGAATAAAAGGAAGACAGAAACTCCAGTTCTTCTACAAGCAATAACATTGTCAATTGCCTCTCCTGCTACTGCTTGCTTTGAACTGAAACTTAAAACCTGAGACAGAGAGAAAGGGGAAAAAGAACACAAACCGTAACCAGTTGATAAAAAAAATGCTTATAGCTCGATGCCAAACTCTCCTAAAGCTTAAGCCCCTCTTATCTTTCCGTTTTCTTGCTCGACCTTTAGCAACTTCTTCAGCATTTCTACATTCAAGTTCTATCCCAAAACCCCACAATGAAAACCCCACCAAATTTACGCAGTTTCCACTAAGTTTCTACCAATATTTCTCTTGGAAGCCTTCAGATTCTTCGCCTGAACAATCGTTGCCACTCACTCGAGATGGTAACTATGATGAAGCCGCGTCAGAGACGCTCATTGTCTGCCCTGGTTGTGGGGTTCACATGCAGGACTCTGACCCTAAACACCCTGGCTTCTTCATCAAGCCCTCGCAGAAAGATCCCGAGACTTATCGGTTGCATGCCCATCTTGAACCCGTTGCTCAAGAACCAGAATTCTCCGATTCCCTCAAAAGGGGTCTCGTGATTGAGCCCGAAAGCCATGGTGCTGATGCTGGTTTGCCTGAAGTTAGGCCTGAGAAGCCGGTGGTATGTGCGCGGTGCCACTCTTTGAGGCACTATGGTAAGGTGAAGGATCCAACGGTGGAGAACTTGTTGCCAGACTTCGATTTTGATCACACCATAGGGAGGAAGTTGGCATCTGCAAAGGGGACTCGGTCAGTAGCGCTTATGGTCGTGGATGCATCGGATTTTGACGGCTCATTCCCGAAAAGGGTCGCGAAGTTGGTGTCGGCAACAATCGACGAGTACTCTACAGCGTGGAAAGAGGGGAAGTCAGGGAATGTGCCAAGAGTGGTGCTTGTGGTGGCAAAAATTGATCTTATTCCGAGCTCTGTGTCGCCGACTAGGTTCGAGCATTGGGTCAGGCAGAGAGCAAGGGAAGGTGGAGCTAACAAGCTAACGAGTGTGCATTTGGTGAGTGCAGTGAAGGATTGGGGATTGAAGAACCTTGTTGAGGATGTCACCGCTTTAGCGGGGCCAAGAGGGAATGTTTGGGCGATTGGGGCGCAAAATGCCGGGAAGAGTACGCTGATAAATGCAATAGGAAAGCATGTTGAAGGGAAGATTTCTCATTTGACGGTAGCGCCTGTTCCCGGAACAACGCTAGGGATCGTCAGAGTGGAAGGTGTTCTTCCTCGTCAGGCTAAGTTGTTTGATACACCAGGGCTTTTGCACCCCCATCAAATTACAACAAGGCTGACTAGAGAAGAACAGAAGCTTGTTCATGTTAGCAAGGAGTTGAAACCAAGGACTTACAGGATCAAGGTTAGTCTCTACTTTGAATATCAACTGCTTTAGGACAACATTGGTTCTTTCTGTCAGTTAAAGTTTCTTCTTTGCTGATTTTATACTGTGGCATCATTTTCTTAAATTTCATAAGACAGACGGAGTAGTAAGTTTATGCTAATTAGTATTTCCATGCTGGTGTTCATCACAGAATAAGAAGTTCTTTTGATTTTTGGTATTTTTCATGTTCCATCTTTTCCTTTTTTTTTTTTAAAGTAATACCCTTTTATGAAAAAAAAAAAAAGAGTAAACGTAGTCCAAGTTCTGGTTTTCTCCCAACTCAGATTGATTGAGCAATTTGCTATATGGTGTGGCATTAGATTTCAGGTAAATCAATAAGTTTGCTTTATACTTTGCGTCACTCATATTTCGTGATGTTGTTCTGCTAGGCCGGTCATTCAGTTCATATTGCTGGTCTGATGAGGCTGGATGTCGAAGAATTATCGGTAGACTCTGTCTATGTTACAGTATGGGCATCTGTTTATCTTCCATTACACATGGGGAAAACTGAAAATGCAGCCGAAATGGTACAGGACCATTTTGGTCGTCAGTTGCAGGTATGGTTTATACCATCTTATAGAATGATGATTTTTTGAATGCCATTCATCTTCCAAAATTTATGATTAAGAAGGTCTTCTACTATTTCTGGAATCTATTAGGACCATACTACGATATATATTGCATGCCTGTCATATAGATTCCATCTAGAAAAATTTATTGTCCAGGAGACAGATATATTTCAGCAAAATTGAGCTTTGTTTATTTTGCTTGTGATACTCTACTGCCATCTATTTTCATTTGTTACATTGGATAAAAGAATGCATCAGAATGAAGAAATCACGACGAGTTTTGCATTGAATGTTCTTCTTTGTCAATCTCATCAACAGTAATCCTTAGATTAATCTCAGATTCTTATCTCGAGACAGAAATCATAGGATAGGAGTCTCCTGGTAACCTTTCTTATTGACTACATGTTAGAGTGATATTGAAAAATCACATAAAATCAGTATTTACAAAGTGTGTATGAAGTATTTTGTATCTATTGTCTCAACCACTTTTTTCTTCGCCCATAGTTGCTCCAGATCTGCTTGAGCGCCCATCTTCCCCATTTATGGTTCAGTCAAACAGTTTTATAATAATTTGTCTGTGTATCCATAAAACTTAACACCATAACATCTAATCCTTGCTTCAGCCACCAATTGGGGAGCACAGAGTTAAAGAGCTTGGGCAGTGGGTGAGGAAAGAGTTCCGAGTTTGTGGCAACAGCTGGGACTCGAGTTCCGTGGATATCTCAGCTGCTGGTCTTGGCTGGTTTGCTGTTGGGCTTAAAGGAGAAGCAGTATTAGGTGTTTGGACTTATGATGGAATCGACGTTGTTCTTCGCAATTCATTGATTCCCTATAGATCAAAGATCTTCGAAGTCGCAGGTTTTACGGTCTCCAAAATTGTCTCCAAGGCGGACCAAGCTTCAAACAAGTCGTTACGCCAAAAAGAGAAGAGGAAGCAAACCGACCCAAAAGAAACTTCACCAAATGAATCATCATTACTAACAACTGAAGCAGATTCACTTCTTGTTAAGACTGGTTGAATGCAAAAGAGAAGAAAGATAATGTAGACTTCTCGCGACGATAATTACCGACGGAAATCGATGATGAAGGGGTGACATGCTACTTAAACACATGCATAGGCTCTGCAGTTTAATTAAGCAAGAAGAAAATGATGTCCATAGATGAAATAGAGTTATAGCTGCCAACCTCTACTTTCGTGTAGAGAGCGGATAGTCCAATTTTGAGATCTCTTTTTTTTCTTTTTTTTTTTTCCTCTGTTTTAGACATGAAAATTGCCGTTTCTTTGGCATGTTTGCTGAAGAGGTGGTATGGAAATATTACAAGTAAACGGTCAAAGCTTCCCTTAATTGTGTCATCAAATAAACCCTTTTTCTATAAGGAAGGGCGTAGTGGTTTATTCTTACATAACGGAAGAAGATTTGATTAGAAACATGGACCAGTTTACTCTGCAGTTGCAATTGACGAATACAACGTTTATCAAACTGTAAAGGAAAAGATTATGATATTTAGAAAGAAAAGTAAAAGTAATAGAATTAAGGTTACCAATTAAGATTGTATAGATTTTGAGTTAATTGAGTACCACTAAGCATAATCTCTAACAATGAGATGTTCTCATTGTACAATTTCACGATAATTATGAAAAATAAAAAATAAAAAGTCCTTTAAAATTCAAAATATGTAAGACAGAGATCTTTTTAACTCAAACTCCATATGCATGAAAGCACTTACAAAAGCATGCCCCATGTCTAGTTTTTTTAATTTTATA